TAGGGAAACTTTTTTTTTTTATATATTTATGGTACTTTTTTAATTTATATAGTAAAAAAAAAATAACCCCCCGTGGGGTCACAAAAGAAAGCTCTATCTGTCCCCAAAATGTTTTAACATATATTGCAAGGCTATAGTCCGGTCATGCTGACTGGTGAAATTTTTGACTGACTGGTGAGACACCGCCAAATTTTTCAAGCCCTGACTATATGAAACGTACTTCATCTGAAACATTTGTCCTTGCAGGGTCATATGGCCTGTTCCCATTGTGACCATGGACTGTCTTTCAGGATCTTGCCTGCAGAGCTTTTTCCACATATATTTTTATAAAGAACTCTTACAACAGCTTGTGCTATAAGCCCCCTTGTGTATGCACCATAGGAAAATACAGAGACTGTACTATTAAGGTGAATCAGGAAGGTAAGCTCACATGGTGGACCAGAGTTGGGGGAGATTTTCAGGGTGGAGTGACAGGCTGCAGAGAACAATTGAGGGGAATCCAACTCTTCTACACTTAAATGTTGGAATAAATTAGTGGATTTCCACTTATAGTTATTATTTTGTATCTGCTTGTGCATGTTTTGTGATGGGCTGGAATGAACAGATAGCAGATGGGACTGTCGGAAAGATAATTGATCTTAATATGAAGTGTATCCTCGGAGACCACAACACTGTTAACAGCAAAACTCAAGGCAAGGTTGGTTTAAAATAGAGCCTGCGATAACAAGTTAATATAGAAGTCAGACGTGGATTGATACAATAAGAACCCAGGGAACATTTTATTATGAAAAGGGTCAATATACGTTTGGGCTGCATGTACATTCATTTGTAGCTTTCTTTATCCCGGAATTTATTCTACTCCAGTGAAGAAAATGTTTGTCTTTTCCCTGACCCCCTTTCTAATTAGCAGCCTTGGACATGGTGTGTATGTTATTGCATGGAGATCAATTATTTTATCAGAAGTCTCCATTTCTCTATAGTATTTGAAACGTGCACGGCTCGGAGGAAATTGCGCATTATATGATCTGCTGTACTTAACCAGCCTGCTTCTCTTTATAGTTCTCGGCTGATGCAGACAAAATGGAAACTGTCCTGAAGGTGGTGGGGTACCTAGAACTGGAGATGTATTGTACCGATAGACTACAAAAGGTAAATATGATAATATGATGGAGATATAATATATATATATATATATATTTGTGGCAGTGTAAGCCAATGCCACGGTGGAGGATGGCGACCTTGGCACCCAGGACTCTCAGCCAAAGGGGCTGAGAGGGCCCAGAAAGTAAAGCAGGTTATAAGGAAGAACCTGGCTTTCCAGGTTCTTCCAAGTTTTCCTAATTGTAGCTGGGATCTGGAGATTTTGTAAGCTCTGGGTGGGATGAGATCTCCAGTCCTGGGGCCAGGTGTTACCAATAATCAGTATAGCTGGATCAGGTGGCTGAGAGCAGCCTTATTAGGAGTCTGAACCAGAGTTCAGGAAGGAGTGTTGGAGTTGTGTGGGTGCAGGGAGCACAAAGCCACAGCAGACTCAGGTGCATGTGCGACATAAGGAACAGCCAGGGAAGGCTGGGAGAAGTCAGGAAGGTCGGTGACCCTAGGACTGCTGGGACACACTGCTGAGAGAGCAGAGCGAGGGCTCATGAGGAAAGCTACTGAGCCATATAAAGGACTGTCTGATGTTGCTGCTGCAAGCTATTTTGTGTTTGTCCTTTTAATAAACTGCATTTTACTTGATTTACCTGGACTACAGTGGAGTGTCCTTGTAACAATTTTACTTGATTTTTAAACAATTTTACTTGATTTACCTGGACTACAGTGGAGTGTCCTTGTAACAAGTATGATATATTTATATGTAGTATTTCATGTTTACAGGTGAAAGAAATGGGGGATCCACAAGAGCGGGGAAACCAAAGTGATCCAGACCTCAGAAATTCCAAATATTCCTATATATTCCCAAGGAGTGTGGAACCCAGAATATGCAGTAAAGAAAAAATATCCCCCATAGGGATACACTCCTTGGGAAAAATATAACACACAAACTAATATCTATATTTTTATAGCTATTAGTGTGTGTGTTTATATTTTTCCCAGGGAGTGTATCCCTTTTGGGAATATTTTTCTTTACTGCATTTCATGTTTGCGTGACTAAAAACACACTCTATTTTATATGTATTCTGATATATTATGTTCTTTAAAGAGAGAATAGAGATTTCATTAAGAATGAAAGAAAAAAAAGAATTACCAATTGCTTGCTGCGGTAGAGTGGTAAAGCTTGGAAATCGACGGGGTCCATTTACTAAAGGGGTAGAAATTGTTCACTTGGCAAAGTAGGATTAGGCTGAATCATGTGCAAGGGAAATAAACAATAAAATAAAATGACAGGATGTTTGCTTGTTATGTGACTGGATGTTTTAAAATGAAAACAACTTCATCTTGCTTGAGTTGAGTGAACATACACTGTAGAAAGTGAACCTGCTCCATTGCTTGTATTAAATCAACCCCAATGTCAGAGGGAGTAATATAAGCTCTGTCAAGTGTCAGACATTATAGATATGAATACATATGAATAGGTGCTACGGTCAATTCGGTATATAGCAAAGTGAACTATACCTTAATGCCTAGTCTGTGACAAATTTATACCACTAATGAGTGCGATTGAGATTTCTCTATTGTCCATTGAGTGATGAAGGTCTGAAGAATTCTGAGACGTAGGGTTACGCTGCTGCATCTAGAAGGAATGGACACTAGGCAAATTAATGAAAAGCCTGTCACTTTAAGGACACAACCCCTCTCACCTCACACCTGCCAGTTGCGCTTAGTGTCCTCAGGAGAATGGATGTCTCCTTCCTTCCACTTTATTATTTTAGTTTTAGTTTGTTTCTTCATTGAAGATTCTGCTACTAAGAGCTGCTAGTTGATTCATACGGGATATTATTTAATCCTGGGAGTCTCTCCAGCTAGCCGACAAAACTGAGATTCATACCGGATAAGTTAAATCCTGGAAGTTTCTCTTGTTGTCATGAAGCAAGTCATCTCTGGTCTCAGTACTTATGCTTCATCCTGTGGTGGTCATGAAGCACGTCATTTTTGGTCTTGGTACATATACTATATTGCCAAAAGTATTGGGACGCCGGTCTTTACACGCACATGAACTCTAATGGCTTCCAGTCTTAGTCCGTAGGGTTCAATATTGAGTTAGCTGCCCTTTGCCGCTATAACAGCTTCAATTTTCCTGGGAAGGCGTCCACAAGGTTTAGGAGTGTGTCTGTGGACCATTTGTGAGGTCAGGTACTGATGTTGGAGGAGAAGGCCGGGCTCGCAGTCTCCGCTCTAATTCATCCCAAAGGTGTTCTATCGGGTTGAGGTCAGGACTCTGTGCAGGCCAGTCATGTTCCTCCACCCCAAACTCCCCCATCCATGTCTTTATGGACCTTGCTTTGAGCACTAGTGTGCAGTCATGTTGGAACAGGAAGGGGCCGTCCCCAAACTGTTCCCACAAAGTTGGGAGCATGAAATTGTCCAAAATGTCTTGGTGTGCTGATGCCTTAAGAGTTCCCTTCACTGGAACTAAGGAGCCAAGCCCAACCCCTGAAAAACAACCCCAGAGCATAATCCCCCCTTCCACCAAACTTTACACTTGGCACAATGCAGTCAGGCAAGTACCGTTCTCCTGGCAACCACCAGACACGCCCATCGGATTGGCAGACAGAGAAGCGTGATTGGTCACTCCATGAGAACACGTCTCCACTTCTCTAGTGTCCAGTGGTGGCGCGCTTTACACCACGGCATCCCACGCTTTGCATTGCACTTGGTGATGTAAGGCTTGGATGCAGCTGCTCGGCCATGGAAACCCATTCCATGAAGCTCTCTACGCACTGTTGTTGTGCCAATCTGAAGGTCACACGAAGTTTGGAGGTCTGTAGCTATTGACTCTGCAGACAGTTGGCGACTTCTGCGCACTTCAACATGCGCTGACCCCGCTCTGTCATTTTGCTGTTGTTCCCGGTTGCTTCCACTTTGTTATAATACCACTAACAGGTGACCGCGGAATATATTTGGTATCTAGGAAATGTCACGAATGGACTTATTGCACAGGTGACAACCTATCACGGTACCACGCTTGTAGTCACTGAGCTCCTGAGAGCGACCCATTCTTTCACAAATGTCTGTAGAAGCGTCTGCATGCCGAGGTGCGTGATTTTATACACCTATGGCCATGGAGGTGATTGGAACACCTGAATGCAATAGTTTGGAGGGGTGTCCCAATACTTTTGGGTGTGTGTGTGTAGTAACATAATAGAATTAATCAAAACCTCAATGGGGTATAAAAAAGATTGCCATTGTGAGACCACCTCTATATTTTATCCCAAATTCCTCTTGGCTTTGAACGTCCATGTCCATTTATATTTCTGTCCATGCAAATACATGTTTGTATGATTCATTAAAATCCTAGCACATAAAACATTTCAATCATCATATAAACTTCGCTGCATGAAATTGAGGTTGGATGTTTTTTCTTCTATAAATGAAACAGAGGCTGCTGGCCGTGTCCTCCGAGAACGAATGTTATGTTTGAATATTCCATAAAGGGTTAAATCCAAAAGTATTTGTATCCGTAAATGTCCAACATCCACTGGGTGATGTACGCTTGGATTAATATAATGTAATCCTGCTGCAGGCAGATAGAACACTGTAGCACTTGTCTTTATTAATCATAGTCCATCTGGGTTAATGAACGAAGATAAAGACGTGTGCAGTGTACTAGCCGCCTGCAGCAGCCAGATTACATTTTATTATTCAAAGTGAACAGTCTCTTCTCCTTTGGTAAATCTGTCTCTGTACCGCCTTCTGCTTTTCTCTCCAGAAAGACGGAACCATCTTTGTTCAGGCATCATCCAGGGTCAGCATCTACTTCCTGGACTGAGATGCCTGCTTAGAGATGACAAAATCATGTAAAATCTGGTGCCTGTGCAGTTCTAGACTGTGTTGTCACATGCCTATTAGACAGCCCCTGCTGCAAACTCTCACCTTGTTGCGTGTTACAAAGTTAGTATGTTGCAGCCATCAATGGGGGAGGAGGAGAGACTGGGGACTAAAAGGTACGGCCTTTCCTAAAAATCAAACCGTTGCATGTTGTGACATATCAGGAATTCATGCAGACTTGTAAAGTTACTGAAAAGTGCACCTTAAAGAATATTATCACCAGTGAACACATAACTTAAAAACCCTTCTGTGTTCCCATCTTCCAGTACTTTGAGCTCCTTCTGACGCAAATACGAGAGATCCTGGAAAAACACACGGACCCGAAGGTTCTGGAAAGCTGTTCTCGGGCGCTCTACGCTTTGTCTGACCGCAACCAGACCTTGCACAAGAAGACAGACCTCACAGTCAGCCAGTTGGTGGATGGGCTCGGTGACCACTTCCTAAAGTTGCTTCCAGACATCATGCAGGTATCGGACTCGCAAGGGCCAGATTCTGGAAATTATTTTCTCAAAGAAAACATGTACTGAGGCATTTGCAGGAGAAGCCATTGTTTATCACCTCCTGAAAATTCTAGTAAAGTAAACCTATCACTGACATTAGGCAATTCAAATGTAACATTGCGTGCGTCCGTGAAACCGCAAAACAATACAATACCCAAAGTTTCCCATAGACGACCCTTTAAACGCTTTTACTGCTCATCAGTTTAGTGTTTAACAGTGATTGATGGGCCTAGAATTATTGCTCTCACTCCAACGCTCACGACGATATGTAACGTGTGGTGCAATTTTCGTTTTTGCACGTAGGCGCATCAGACGCATGTTTGCGTTGTATGTGCGTGCACGTGGGGAGCTGGGGGACTTTAAAACAAAATGTTTCCATTTTTTTAATATCTTTTATTATGTAATAGCAGATAAGGTGTGACAGGTCCTCTTTATAGAGACATCAGGGGTCTTTCAGACCCCTAATGTCACCTAGAGACCCCAAAGAAGCTGATGAAGCAGAGATCTGCTTCCCCAGCTTCTTCTCCTGGCTCTAGGAGCCGGAAAATGTGCACAGTGACACTGGAAGTGATGTAATGCACATCACTTCCGGGTCCAGTGATAAGTGGCTGGATGCTCCCTCCAATCTGTCAGGGGAGACACACCATGCTGGTCCTGGGCTCGCACGGGGGACAGCGGAGCCCGGGAAGCCGACTGTGGCACCGGGGGAGGTGGGGACACACAGTGCTGTATGAACAATGAACGGAGAGAAAAGGATTTTACGGTGAGTACAAAAATCCTATTCTCCCCTCACGGTAGTGGTCAGTGAAGAGCTCCCTTACATTGGTGGTCAGTGGGAAGAATGCCTCTTACATTGGTGGTCAGTGGGAAGAATGCCCCTTACATTGGTGGTCAGTGGGAAGAATGCCTCTTACATTGGTGGTCAGTGGGAAGAATGCTTCTTACATTGGTGGTCAGTGTGAAGAATGCCTCTTACATTGGTGGTCAGTGGGGAGAATGCATCTTACACTTGTGGCCAGTGGGAAGAACGCTGCTTACATTGGTGGTCAGAAAGAAGAATATCCCTCTTAAGGGTAGCTAAAAAGATCATTGGTGTCAGTGCTTACTTACCTGAGAGGCTTAAATGTGCTAATTTGTCAAGGAACCCCTAGTAACCTCTGGGGAAACCTCCATAGAACCCTGGCTGAGGAAGGCTGGTATAAACCACATGTAGATATGGGGATACGGGCATCTAAAGTTATTTTTACTTTTTCCATTCATGTTGAACTTTACTTCCTTAAACTCCCTGTTGGTCCTTTCATTAGCTGACTATCCTCAATGGCCATTAGGTTTGGAAGTTGACGGGGATGGGGCTAAGCACTACTTTAATCGGAAAGATTGAGCTTCTGGAATAAATTTGGCTGCCTTTGCCATTGGCTTTTTACTGAAAGTAACCAATGCATCTTTTCATCATATGTTTACTTTGAAGTGCCGAGGTTTATGACGAGATCACAAACTTTCTTTCTCTAGGTGTCTGATCTGGATGAAGATGATGTGTATAACGCTGCTGCCACGATGAAAAGACTCTCGGCTTTGTACAGGTAACACTCACAAATATGAAAGGAAATAAGTGGAATTATTTCAATATCTAACGATTAGTCGCCTCTATCTTGGTGTCTGTAAAAAGAACCTCATACCAAGACATTGCCTAGTTAGTAAGTTGACGACTGCTTTTTCGATGAAGTCTGCTCAAGTTCACCCTTGTGTCTGTAGGACTCTTAATCTGGTTTCTTAACCAATCCCTGTCTTCCAGCTCACAAAAAAAGACTTGTCCTTCTAATGTTTGGATGTGGTTAAGGCTCTACAAGTCAGTCTTTCAGCCACTGCTTCCATTACAAAGACTGATTTGACTTTTTGTCATCCCTGATGGACCCCAAAATAGTGCATTAGCTTCATGTTCCATCATCTCTAGATGGCTTGGACAAACCATCATTCAAGCTTAAGGTATCAAGCATTGGGCTCCACCTTTGCTTGTCAATGCACATTCTACTAGAGCTGTGAGCGCTTCTTGTGATTTTTTTTCAACTGTTTTCCAAATTTGCAAGGTTGCCACCCAGTCCTTACCTGCCAGCCTCGGGCGTAAGGTCCTACAGGCAGCTGTTGTTTTCTTAGGCTTTTAGGCATATTTTTCCTGTTGCCCACTCCACAGCTTTTTGGCTTCCCAAAGCCGAAAGACTTCTGTGTCCCTCAATGGATCAGACATAAAATAGTATTTTTATATTCACTGTCAAATCCTTTTCTTAAAGCCCATTTAGGGACACAAGCCCAACCCCTTTGTGTTTCTGCTCATGCTTTTCGTACTGCTTTGCCAACAACTAAGACATGCTGGTAGTACGGTAGGAGGGATTATTCTGTTTTGGGGTTTTGTTTGCCTGTGTCCAATATTCCTATAGACTGCAATAGAACCTGAAAGTTAAAGATTCCCATGTCCCTCAATGAATGTCAATAAAAGGATTTTACAAAATTCCAATAAGAGCCATGTATGAGCGTGTATAAGGTGTGGGCTTAGACACATTCACCAGAATTGGCATTGTGGAAGGCTGAATTTTCCTATGATTTTACACATTGAAACCACAACTTTAGATCTTAGTTTGTGCTACCTTTAGCCAACATTGGACCACCATCTCCGCCATGGGAGACCAATAATAATATAATCTAGCACCATTCTTTCCAGAATTAAAAAATAATAAAAATAAGTGTGTGTATGTATGGAGATATCTATAGATATAGACAGGGGCTGACTGGCAACTTTTAGCCCAGGGGGCAAGTACAACCCAGAGGCCCATGGTGCAGCAACTTGACCCCCCTCCCGCTTTGCCTCTTCCCCCGCCTTCTCCCCGCCCGTCTGCCACTTTTGCCATCCATGTAACAGTAGTGTGAATGTATTTATCGGTTTAGGAAATGTAAAGCACACTGGTAGTGGAGGGATGCCACGTCAGGGCTGTGCACGTGCATGACTGCTGCGACCCATTGTAGTTCTGCCACTAACTCAGAAATACTTTGTACAGCATTGCAGAATGGCATTGGCTTTAGAGAACTACAATTCCCAGCAATACATTACACAACAATGCAGAATACCATCAGCTATAGCGGACTATAAATCCCAGCAATAATGACTACCATCAGCTATAGAGGACTACAATTCCCAGCAATACCATTATACAGCAATGCAGAACAGCATCAGCTATAGAGGACTACAAATCCCAGCAATACATTGCACAGCGCAATGCAGAATAATATGAAGCTACATACTCTGTTGCTCTGGGTTCTCCACCTGATGTCTAAAGGGTCTCAGGTGGGCTGTGCCGGCTCTCACCAGGGGTCCAGTATGTTTAGAAATCGCCCCGCCTTTGCCGTACCCGAAGTTCCATTGGCCCAATTTATGTCTGGGTAATTGAAGTCACCCATCACGACTACATTGCCCTCTCTCCCAGCTATTCCTATCTGTGAGTGAAGATTGACTTCTCCCTCTTCCCCTATATTTGGAGGTTTATAGCAAATACCCACGAGAAGTTTACGGCTAGCGTCCGTCATATATATAGATATAGATATCAATATATAGATAGATAGATACATATATTCATTCTGGAGTTTGATTAGAAGCATTAAGGATAAATGATGCATGTAAAAACACAATTCAGGAGCACCATCTGTCTTGGTGAATTTACATTAAAGCAGAACTCCGATGGGAAAAATTATTAACCCTTGCAGTGGGACTACCCCTACACTGGAAGGGTTAAGTGCTTGTTTGTGTCTAGGTAAAAAAAAAAAAGTTATACTCACCTGCTCCTTGGAAATTGTGGCTCTTAGACCCAGTGCGTAGGGGAATACCATTGCTGCAGCGGAGGAGACTGGCTGGAGGGAGCGCTGTCACAGCCGGCTGGATCCAAGGTTCAGTGTGAATATAACTTCTTTTTAACCTAGACACAAATGAGCACTTAACCCTTGCAGTGCTGGGGTAGTCCCACAGCATGGGTTGAGATTTTGTTCCCTGGAGTGCTTTAATGCAGCGGCTTGGTTGATGCTTGTAATAGCACTTCAGGTCATTTGCATACAATGTTAACTGGCTCCATACTTCAAGATGGTAGCCATTCATCTGCTTCTTACACCTTCCCCAGTGCTTACAATCTTACCAAGTGGGAGCTGTTTGAGCCGTGTTGCCAAATTCTGCAGAAGGCCGTGGACACGGGAGAAGTTCCTGAGCAGGTAAAATGGACGAATCCAAATGTGTCATCTCAGATGCTGAACTGAAGTTTATGAATATCAAGTTCCTTCTTTTTATACAGATTGTCCTCCCCTCTCTTGTCTGCTGTCACTTCTCTCTTCTCTGGACGCTCTCCCACCTTACCAACGTAGAACCATCAGAGGTAAGATTGTATTCACTTTTACAGGTATGCCAATCCATAGATCAATAACTGGTAGAGTATGTGTCTGGTTTTGGCAATTTAACCTATTTATAGATACTTTTTCTGCATTATGAACATGGCAGTTTTCTTCCAACACTCATTGGGGTAAAAAGCAGACCACTGGGGTATCATCCATGGCTTCAGGAATTGGACGCTAGGCTAAGGCAGGAAGGCATATATCATCCCTGTGGGCTACGCCCTTCTACATAGGTAGTAGGATCCCAGTACTGGAACATTTTTGCTAACGAAGATCACTCACTCAAGCTGCTGTCTAACTGGCCCACCCCCCGTACTAAGACTCAAGTTCTAGCTTTCCTGGGTACGGCAGGATACTATAGGCGGTTTGTCCCCAATTACAGCGCCATCGCCAAACCCCTGACTGACCTGACTCGTAAGAGTCTTCCCCGACAGGTCCTGTGGTCCCCGGAGTGTGAGGCAGCCTTCCAGCAGCTTAAACAAGCACTTGTTCAGGCCCCAGTACTAGCCGCTCTTGACCCTACCAAACGTTTTGTTGTACACACAGATGCCTCTATTTTTTTTTTTATATTCTGATTTCATCACTTTCTGTATAAAAGTTTGTGCAGTTGCTCAATAAATGAGAGTTTGTTTACCCTACACTCAAGCCTTGGCTAGTGACTGGGGAAACTGGGAGCTAAGGATCTTCAGGTTGCAATATCTCCTCAGCAAGGAAGAAGACAGCGGCGGACATACTCATCCTGAGTACGGGGGTCCGTCACATTTACCTTTTTCTGAAGTCTTTAAGCAGGTCACACGCTTTGGGTGGGTCTGAATTTTGCAGAGAGCAGTGGTGACGTAATAGCATTAGAGATGTTTTCTGCATCATTATACTGTAAATGAAGGGGGTCTTAGTGAGGCGGGCCCATGACCACATATAAATGTACAAGTTCTTGTTGCACTCCTTACCGGAAATCCCAAGTGATAAGGGAGGGTGCTTGGAATGACTGCGGATGGCGCCGCGGTAAGCATAAGATTTGAAGAATGTTACCAGCACACCAAGGATCCTTCAAGAATCACCAAATGTTCATTTATTGAACAAGTTGTCAAAAAATATGAAAATGTTTCCTATTTTTTGACAACTTGTTCAATAAATTAACATTTGGTGATTCTTGAAGGATCTTTGGTGTGCTGGCGACATTCTTCAAATCTCATCACCACATATACTCACAGTATCACTGTGTATTCACAGAACTGTTCGTCCTGCGAAATTGCTTGTTCATTAGTTCTGTGTGATTGGAAGCAAAAAGGAATGTTATTAGTATATTTTCTTGAATGCAGCATCAGGAAAATGCCACATTATGGCCACTGAGCTGAGGTGCAAAGTAAATGAAAAAAAAATATTTCCCATACTACTGATTGTACTAATGATTGAATTGCTTTGTCCCATCATTCTTCCTTTTCATCTTCCCGGTTTGTGTTTACTTTTGCCTCCATCGTTCATCTCCCTTATTGTTCTCTTTCTTATCAGACGGAGGTGACTGCCCTTTGTAAGAAACTTCACACATTCATAGACTTGTGTCAGAGTTTTCTGTCGGATCTCAATCGCAGGGTCAGAGAGCAGGTAAAATTAACCTGAAATCAAATGTACAGTCATTCTCCCTTTTCTGTCTTAGAAACTGAAGCAAAATGATCATCTTTGTGGATGAAAACTTTACCAGTCACGTGTTTGTAAAGGTTTCTAAAATGGAACTACAGTCAGCTACAAAAATTCCAGTAATGAGCAGAAATATATTAGAGAAAAAACAAAAAAAGTTCGGTTTGTATAAAATATAAAAGGTCATAAATCCTGTAGCACTCCTTACCGGAAATCCCCAAATAAGTAAATGGGTGCTTGAAATGACAGCGGATGGCGCCGCACACAAAACAACTTACCTCAAATGTAAATGTCACCAGACATTGTCTACTCCTGAGCCTGATGAAGGGGACCCTTTGCGGCTCCGAAAGCGCTTGTTACTCTGAGCAACATCTATTAATAAATGGATTTGCACTGACTTATGAGCTTCTGTCGTGCTGGTGACATTTAGATTTTAAGCTGTTTTGTATAAAATATAACACATTGTTTTATTTGAACATATTTAAAACATGTACTTTAAATGATCTAAAAGGGATCAAAGGATGTAGCTGCATCCTCCCACATATTATCTTGATATTACAGTACTTTTACCATGTGCTGTGTGCCAGCTTTTTTTTTTTTCATGCTGTAATGCACAACATGTGGGAGGACGACAATTTCTACGCGTTTCCTATTAGGCCTTGTTCACACCAAGCGCGGAGCAGGTGCAGAGCAGTTGCAGACCAGGTCAAAACTGCGTCCAATGTATTCCTATGGGATTTTTAGCTCCAGTTCACATCGCAGCGTGCAGTTCCAGAGCAGGTGAAAAAACTGCAGCAGGCCCTATTTTAACTGCTCTGGATCTGTAAACGCATCAAAACCGCATGCAAATGCCTGGAACGCACTGAAAGCCCATTAAACTTTTTTTTTTATTTAGTCAAAAACGCATCTAACAGACTAGCGTGAGTGTGCAGAAACCTGACCGGATCTGCTCTGCATTTGGTGTGAACAAGGCCTTAGTAGCCTATTCCTGAAGAAGCGGATCTCCGTGAAACGTGTAGAAATTGTCGACCTCCCACTGGATTACAACATGAAAAGAAAGCTGGCACACAGCACATGGTAAAAGTACTGTAATATCAAGATAACATGTGGGAGGATGCGGCTACATCCTTTGATCCCTTTTAGATAACTTAGAAGTACATGTTTTAAATATGTTCAAATAAAAAATGTGTTATATTTTATACAAACACCACTTTTGTGATCCTTGGAGTACCTTAAAAGTCCGAACCTTTCTTCATTTTTTCTCTAATATAGTTTATTGGTATGTGTTCCCCCCCCCCCCATGCCTCATTGTATTGTAATCAGCTTTTATTAGGCAGAAATACTTACCTTCTGTCCTGCTGGATGACTGGCCCCAGGAAGCCTCTTTACTTCGCCATCCAGTGGCTGCTTCCTCAATGACGTCATCATGTGCAGACATCTGTAGACCATTGCTCTACAGACCTTAAACACTCAGCAATTAATCAATCAACATCAGGTTGATGTATTTAGTTACAGAGTTACAGGCATGCAGTCGCTGCTCTCTACCTGTATGTCTCTTGCAGTGGTGCTCTCTACCTGTATATCTCTTGCAGTGGCCCCCATAAACATATATTTTAGTCGATTATGGATTTCCTTAGGTGCGCAACCCTCTTTTGCCAGAAATTCAATGACCGCTCGTTGTTTTAGCTGCAGATCCATTGGTTCTAATCACTCAATCTGAAAAAGAAAAGTATACATTAGTGGGGTAAGGACACCTCTATAACATGGTACATTAACATTCACAGTCACTAATAGATCTCCAATTACAGACATGAAAGCTTTACTTTTTGATTGACTCTCGTGCAAAATGTGACCATGCCATTGCTATGATGTAGAAGTAATTGCATATGGTGCTTTGTATTGTGGGTTTTGTAAGTTTGCACTGTGTGGGTGGTATTAAGTTTATATGAAAACAGTATATACTTTATTGAGTAACATTTTTGATAGTAAGTGGTGTGACTTCATAATCCTTTAATCCCTCTCTCTCTCTCTCTCTCTCTCTCTC